GAAGCCAGTCAACCAATCATGAAGGTGATAAATTTTTGTAACCAGGTGGGGTTGAACCCTAGACCTTCTCCTGGTAATCTATGGAGCACTACCACTGTGCTATGGACCCATAGGTCTTAACAAATAAATTTATTTTTAATAAAAAATTTCATCTTTATTTTAATTATTATATACATTATAAAATATTATGATTTATATTATAAAAAATTATTATATTATTAAAAATTAAGAGTTTTAAAATTTTAAATCAAAATCAATAAATTTCAATATATATCAATTTATATTAGATTTATAATAATCAGCAGGGAAATGAAAAAAACTCTTTCTTAATCACATCTGTTTTGTTAAAAAAATTTTTTAATAGTAATTTTAAGCAAGAAAAAATGTTTTATACTTTTTATCGCAAGTGAGCTCCAGCTCAAGAACTTAAAAACCTTTAAGACAATTGGTACAGTAGGATGGAACCTTTGATCGAAGTCTATTCAAGTTTGGAAGTCTTGTTTATCCTTTGGTTATATGAGGAAAGGTTCGTGGCAGTTCTCCTTCTTTACTCCTATTATATCATAAAAACTATCTATATTATTATTATTATACTCATTAAATTATACACTTTCCAAAATACACATTCAAATAGAATTGGTGGGTCTACTGTTTGTTTCAAGTCAACTCTTACATACAATATTTTTGTAATAATAATTGCTACACCATCTTAAAAGTTCAAAAATTTTTCAAACAAAAAACTGAAATCAGTTTATCCCTCCAGATAATTAGTACCCTCCAATTATCTAATCAGATTTTGCATACAAATCAAAACAAAAACCATGCCAGCTCAAACTGGTTTTATGCTATAACAACAACTTCAATAACAAACAACATTATGTATATTCTACTATTTATGATAATTGAAGAGTTGAAGAGATGGAACAATGAATCTGTCTAGGGATTCTTTCAAAAAAATAATTAGTTTTTTATTTATAGATCTTATAGTTTACTTGACAAAGTTTTAGTTTTAGTTACTTTTAATTTTTTCTTCTTAATTTCTTTTATTTAAAAAAAAAGATTTCATTAAACAACTTTTCGAGTAGATAGATATAGTTGCTACTTTTATATTTGATATTTTAATATTGCTTTTAAAATTTTTTACGATATTAGTTAAATATGATACAAGTAGGCAAGCTAGTATTTAACTTGTTGTATACAATGCATCCAAGAGATATTGTTTCTTTCATAATATATACCTTGATATATACAAATCAAATAAAGAGATAATGTTTATCTACTGGAATAACCCCTTCAAAATAATAATAATAATAATAATTAGCAGGGGAATTATAATTAATATATATTCAGAATGTTATTAATCAATATAGATCATACTATTTATTTTATTAATGTAAGTTATTTAAAATAGATTTAATTAAATAAAATTAGTTTAAGTAATATAAAATTAATTTTAAATAATTCAAATTGTATAAAAATAACTTTAATTAGATGAAATTAATAAGTTGTATAAAAATAGTTAAAATTAAATAAAATTAATAATATAAATTATATAAAATTTGTTTATATAATATAAATTTTATGAAAATAATCTGGATTGTATTAGTAAAATAAAATTAATGATATGAGTTTATAAAATTTAATAATATAAGCTATATAAAATTTGTTTTAATTAATATAAATTATATAATAATAACTTGAGTAATTTTAATTTAAATAAAATTAACTTAAATTATATAAATATAACTTGAATTATATTAAATTAATTTTGATTAATATACAGTGTAGTACAAAAAACCAGAATTATAGATTTAATTATAATCCAATAATTAATTAGTTAAACTATATAAAACTTTACAAATATAAGTTTTTTGACATCTTAACAATAAGTTATATATAAGTTATTTAAAAGAGATATAAAATAAGAAAAAAACTATTCTTTAATTAAAAATTTTTAATTAGGCAGTGCAATAGACATTGTTAAAAGAGATAGAAAATATGAATAATAGAAAAAAAATTTTTATTAAAAAAGACTTGAATAAATAAAATCACATGTTTCAAGTAAAAAAAAAAGTCAAAAACTTATTTAATATAAAGAACAACAAGTTATAAGGAAAGAAATTCATAATTGGTTTAATTGATTTTGTTGTAAGCAAATAAAATAAAATATAAGGAAAAAATTTACAAAATAACAACATTTTACTCTTTCAATAAAGATTACAAGAAATGTTTCAACATTAAAAAAAATAAAAAGCAATTTTCATAATTTTTAAATAAAATGTAATGATGCACAATCAGATAGGATATTGAAAAAAAATCAAATTTTTAATATTAATTTTTTAATATTAAAAATATAATTAATGAAAACTTTTATTAATAAAGATATAAAACACGTATTTAATATCATGCATCATTGATTATTGTTATCATTAACCAAGAGATGATAGATTAAAAATTCAAACTACAGTATTGATATCATTGAAGACTTGATTAAATAGCATAAATATGGCTTAATTACGAACTTGTACATCTAGAATAACATGAGAACAATGAAGAAACTGATGATTGTTTCAATACATAAAACCAAATTAAACTTTAAATACAGGAATTTTGTTCATTCGCATGATGATTATATTTCGAGGATCCGAGAGTAGGCAGAAAAGAAGAGATTCTAAAAAAAATGTCACACGTCAGTCATTGTTATGCGACTGGGATCCTATTACGTAATAAAATTTTCCTTAATATTCAAGCACAAAAACTCAAAAAGGATTATTTAATGAAATTAGATTGAGTATTTGATCAATCGTATGCATGCGGTCTTTGATAATGCATCAATTATGTTACACTAATACCAGCAGTTCGAACCTAAATGGCATCATATAATAGTTGGCGTTACAGTAGTCGCATTCTGCAAACAAAAGTCAAGTCATGCGTTAACTTTTTTTTCAATTCAGGAACCATCTCTAACCAATTTTGGTAAATATAATGGATTTCATTGACCCAAACCTTGCATAAGCGCGCAAATGCAAAGTGATCAAGTCTAACCACAAATATCAGAGATTCTTTTTATAAAATACAGTAAAACGTTTCAATGAAGGTATGCCGATTCAGTATTCCATAGAAAATGAGTGAAACGGAATCTAAGGAACATCAAATTTCAATCGATGAAGAAACTTCCCATAAAATTCCAATCGATGACACTTTACCACACGATGGAAAATGGGTAAATTTCCTTGACTGTTCACCAAACATGGAGTATGCGGTATCTGCGCGTTTTGAAGATAAATCAGTTTGCACGTGGAAATTCGTGAGAGGAGAAGAAGGGCCCCAAATGAAATTGGAACATAAATTCGATCTTAGCGATATGGCTATTTTAACGTTTCCAATAAACGTCTCGGATTTCAAAAACATTTTAGTAGGTCATTCTAAGAAAAATACTTTCTGCCTCGGTAAGTTTAGCGTCGATTCTAAAGTTGGAATTGTGTTTTTTAATTAATTAATACCACGTATATAATTCTTTCAATAGAAATCAGAGATTTCACAAACAAGCCAACGCTGACATTGGATACTCATGATTTAAAAGGAAAAATTGAATTAACCGGTTTTCTAAAAAATGGAGAGTTGGTAGTCGTTCAAGGGCATCCTGCTAATAAGCTTAACATCTATTCTAATAGAAATAAACAGTGGCACTGCAGGAGTAGCATTAAACTCGTAAAATTCAATCGTTCCTTTCTTTCTCACGATAGATTGCTGATTCTCACAGATGTACCTTTTGTAATTATGCAATGGGATCTGGTGAAACAAAATTATGAGCAACAATACGAATTAGATTGGAATTTGTCCAGGTCTTGGGGTTCCATCAGGATGGAACTAAGCAGTGATGGTACATTCTTAGCAGTAACCGGAGTTTCGAGTCGGGAGAATAAGTTAAAGGTCTATTTTTATTCAAAAAAAATTAATGCATTGGTAGCAGAAAGTAAGTACCATTTATGCACAAGTAAAGTATCTAATTCTATTACTAACCCATAAATTTGTTTGACAGCATCGTTTGATGAAACTCACATCAGAACAATGGGTTTTATCAAATTAAAGGATAGTGAAATTTTTTTCATCTCTCTAGGACAGGAGGCCGAGTCTCATTGTATTCGTCTAAGCGATCTTTCAAATTTTAAAAATCGAATTGAGTCGACAATCTACCAATGGCAAATGTACAATTTAGGAGAGTTTGATTTACCGGGTGGAAATGAATTTTTGATTCGTGGCCATTGTATGCAATTTAGTGATGATGGTTTACAAGTTTCTAGATTAGATCCGGAAATTAAAGGCGAATTTGGTGTATATTTTTTTGAAGGAAAAGTATTTGAAATAATAGAAGATTATCTAAACGAATATAAGAAAATGTATCGTAATTCCGAAAAAAAAAAAGATTTAGAAATGAATCAACCAAAAGAATATCCTGGTACGCTATACACATGGATTGTTGAGTACTTAAAGAAGGGCGTTATGATCGTAGCTAGGTTAACAGCGAGGAATAATGACACGAAGGAGGATATTGGAAAAGTGGATGTAGATTTGCACGCGATTAATAAAGAGGATATTTGTATAGAATTTGAAATACTTGCAGGCAATGATCTTATGTTGATTTCCTCTTCTACCATACAAAGATGGAGAGTGATGAACGGCAACAAAATGTATTTAATTAATTGTTGGACTCATCTTGATGTGTATTTCAAATCGACAACGGCACAAGAAGCCATGATTGAACAACTTACTTCACTATATAATAAATTGAAGTTACTAGGTCGGTCTCCTTTTAGCCCTTCTCCTTACTTCGACCAAATGATTAAACACAGATCAATAGGCCTGGCCACATATTTAAAAGAGGAGTCGGGATTGTTAAAAGTGGATTCAAGAATTACTAATGGAGATTGGTTAGATGTCTATACAAAAGAAGTCATCACTCTGGAATGTTACGGAAGCGAGATACTCCAAGCATTAATTGATTTGAAATATTTAGACGATAGTAAAAAACTATTTGAATCCGTTATTAATCATAGTTTGCGTCAGTTTCGAGAGGGCGATTTTGTTACTAGGGTTATTTCGTTTTTTGATATAATCACTTCTAATCTTTTAAAATTAGAATCACTCGACAAAAATTTTGATTTTACCGAACGATTTTTATCCGAAACTGCATTATTAATTCCCGACGATTTTTCTTACCTTGTGGATAACGCATCGATTACAATCCACGCAAACCCTTACAGAACTTTTCCATATTTACCAAACACATCAATCTTCGATCGCCTCGAACTTCCAAGAAGTTTGGATTTTCTAAAGACAAACCATTCCTTATTTCCTAAAAAAACCGTGAAGTTGATGATCCCTTTATTAAATTTTGCCACCTACCCTGAAAAACATTCGATTCATAAAGAGTTGATTTTTCCACCCGACAACTCTTTTACCTCGTTAAATCTTCCGGAGTATTATAAATGGCCAAACATCAAAGCCCTTGTTAATTTTAAGTGGAGCACATACGGGAAAAAATATTATTATTTAATGTGGATAATTTACTCTACATTTTTACTAAGCTTTATTACAGTTTCATCAATTCCACGAGATAAAATTCCATGGAAAAATCAAGAAGCTCCTTTGGTAATAACAATTATCCTTGGAATTCTTCAATTTGTTTTTGAAATTCGAGAATTCATCCACGGCCCTAAAGATTTTCTTTTAAGTCCTTGGAACTGGTTTGGTTTGTGTAATTTAATATTTAATGCATAATTTAATATTACGAATGTAGAGTTCTAACTCAATTTAATTTGCAGATATTCTCGCATTATTATTTCCAACGGTAACCTCATTTTTATGGCTGATTCATGGATACCCACGATTATGGATTATCGTTATATCCACACTTGTACTTGAACTCAAATTTTTGACTTTTTTCCGTGCTCTCGATAACTTTGGAACATATTTTGCAATTATGATTGGAGTGTTTAAAAAAATCTCCTACTTTATCATAATTTTGGGTATTATTGTTTTGACATTTGCCCACTCTTTACATCTCTTATTAAGACCAACCACTGCATATTCTTTTGATGAACCAAGTTATGAAGCCAGTGATGACAATAATCCTTGGAACCTCGTTACAAAATATCAATCCATATCATCCGATGGTATCATTGGAAAACCATCTCTTATTCCAACCCCTGATTCAAACACAAACTTATTTTCGGTATTTGGCACCGCTTTATTAGCGGTTTATTTTATGTTAACAGGTAGACCTATGACATATATACGAAATTAAATATAAGATCAATCACAGTACTAATTTTTATGCGTTATCAGGGGATAGAAGCGCGGTCGCGCCATGGACTTTGGAAAATAATCATACACTGGCGTTTATATTGGTTTTATTTTCATTCATCATAGCGATTTATTTAATGAATTTATTGATTGGTTTACTTAACACGGCAATCAATGAAACAAATAATGAAGAATCCCTCTTTCACTTGAGAGGAGAGGTATGTATCGCGTATTTTTTTTTTTTTTTGTATACTGTATATCTAATAATTATGATGATAACAATAATTATCACTTAAAGATTCTGGCGGAGATTGAACTTTTTTGGATGTGGCCCTACCAAAGAAGAAAGGAAAAATGGTTTCCGAAGATTTTGTAATTGTTTCATGCATATTTCTTATGTAATTCTACCTTGAAGATTAATCCTACCAGCTTCTAACACGGAAAATTTTTGCCAGATATTACGAATTATCCGTTGATGAACTCACGGAATACGTCAAGAAACTGGAGAATGAGGTACCCGAAGAGGCATTATGGTCTAAAGCCATTAAAGAAATTGTCGGATATAAAATAAAGGTTGATGAAAGGATCAATGAGTTGGACGAAAAATTTGAAAATTTTGACGTAAAATTTACTGAGGTAATCGAATTGATCAAAAGATTGACTGGTGAAGACAAAGATGAAAATAAAAGTGAAAGCGAAGATGAGGGAGACGAACTAAAAAATGAGTGAGATGAAAATAAAATGCGAAAACGAGGAGGACAAGAATAAATGCTAGTCGTCGTATTGTTATTTACAATTTCTTAAAAATTCATTTAAATGTACACACTGTACTGTATATTATTTAATAAAGATTGTGTATGTGTTATTATATTTATTTGTTAACCAAATCGGTGTCCAAATATCATTCGTTTTATTAAAAAATTATGCCTTGGACATTTGTTAATTAAAAATAAATAAATTCCACTCGACAAATATAAAGCTATGGATAATATACACAATGTATTGTTAGGTGAAAAAAAAAATCAGAGTTTAAATTGCTATTTTGGGGTACAGAACTCGTGCAGCTGTACGTGATCGAAAATCGTGAAAATTTTAACTCGCGGAACAATTGTTACTCTAATACAGTACTGTATACCGTAAATCAAATTAAGATTTTATATTATAAAATTATAAAGTACATGATTTATTAAAGATTTATTAATAATGATAAACGTTATATAAAAAAATCGAAAAAAAAAATCTTAATTAAATATTTTATTATAAACTTCATACCAAATGAAAAAAAACATATGTGATCAATTCTTGTGGTGAAAGAAATTTAACAATATTGAAAAAAAAATAAAAATTTGACAACAAAAAATGGCAAATAAAAAAATTCTATATTTCAGATTTAAACAAAATAATCAATACTTGGCAATACAGTAGCGGTCATAAGTATCTGTACCCCCAAATTTTTCAAAATCATATGACAATGCCTCCTCAAAATTTCCAGGATTTAAGAATAATACTAGCCTTACAAG